CCCATCAGGTCAGTTACTGTAGTAACATTTAGAGATGAAAGTGCACATTTTTGAATTCCATTACAATCTCCATGAACCAGTGAATAAATTCTGGATTTGTGATTAAGATTGTATCCTGAATCTGTCATTTTGAAAAAAACTTGAATAATTTTCTATTTCTGCAGCTTCTATCCACTCTGAAATTCTGTTTGCTTATAGTGGGTAGACCATCCGGTATCTCAGAGGAAATAATGGGCCTTAATATCCCTGGCTGCAGACCGTCTCCCGACTCATTACCAGTGGTATGTGGCTCGTAAAGGCCTCGGACATGCTGTGTCCAGCTCTGTTGGCAGATTACATCTTCGATATCACTGTGGGGTGAGCTCCAATAGCATGATGTGTCACGATTGAAAAAGAAATGCAGATGAAAACTCAGTTGATGGGTTTCTTTGTCTCCTGTTTTTCTGTGTTTCTCGCTCTGTCACTTTGTTTCAAAAGTCTGCCAGTCCCGTGGCTCCTGTACTCATCCATCCACGGTTTGGCTCCAGTGGCTGTCAGCAGCAATGGGCTCTTCTGTGCTATCGTGCTGCTCTTCATCATGCTCCTCTTTGTCATCGTCTCCATTGCATCCTGTAAGTGGAAGATGAACAAGGCACTGGGTTTAACCATGTTCCTGCTATACTTTATCTTCCTGGTGCTTAGCGTGATGCTGGAGGATCGCATCATTATCTGCCCTGTTTCCATCTGAACGTTTGAACAAAAACCCTCTCTACAGCCAGGATTCTCTTCTTGTGTCCTGAAGCAGAACTGTTAACCCATACATGTGTGGACCTCATGAACATGGGTCTTGATATCTGTAGAAACTGTGCAGAAAGCTACAGTAGTTGCTCTGCATTGCTGCCAGTGGCATGTGTCCTGAATGTCAGCACCACTACACATACTACAACATTTTCTAGAACTTGTTATATACTCACTTTTAGCAACGATGGCAGCTTTTATATTCTTGTTTTGATTACACCAAGAGATGTATGAACTACTGTCTAACACTAACAGGGATATTAAAATGTTTTCACTGTTTACACGGTACTGCATCTACAGAATGGAATTAGAAATCCTGAATATGTGCACAATTTGGAAAATTTATGAGGTTTTTAAATGTGAATTTTGTATAATATATAAGTATACACTTGCGCCAATGACGTTTTGTTTTTTGAGATTGAAAACCTGACCTTCCCTGAATTTACAGTTCGTTCATGCACATCAGTTTTTATAAAAATGTCAGGCATAGCAATAATAAAATCAAACTTGACCTCCATAGAATAAATGTGTTTATTCATAAATGAAAGCAAACAATAGATCCAGCCAGGGAAGAAAGTTGATTCATTTTTTATATAAAAATCATAGAAATTAGTATCTGTGTTACAAATGATAAATAATACTGCATAAACATTGTTTAAATTGACAAATTGTGTAAACAACATGTAGACATCCAATTATGTTTTGGTCATCAGTGTTTTTTCAGTCAC